ATATAAAATAAATTATATTATCCGAGTTTTGAAAAAATATGCTATTAAAATAAAACGATCGTTGCAATATTATTTTTATAATTACGCTAAACAACAATTAACACAATATCTCGGGAAACAATATGTTGTTACATTTTTATTTTGTAGAGTTTACGTATTATTATTGTTGTTTTATGTGACGGAAAAAAATTCACAAAAGTTGTCACGCACGCTCTTGCTATGCTATTTAACTATTGAACTTCAGAACGTAAATAAATGTTGCTTTTGGTTGTGAATTAGAAAAAAAAAACCAAACGAGAGTAAAATAAAACATCAGATAATGGAGTTAAAAAAAAAAAAAAATTCAATGGTATACGTCGAATTTTTTGTTGTAGTATTTAACGGGTGGTTGCATTTTATGAACGACGAAAATCGTTGACGCGTACAATAGGTATGTCTTATATATTGTTTTTATTATGCAGTAACACTGTTTCGACGCTATTATTTGGGCTTCGCGTGCCGTGCAGGATTATTATAGATATATAATTTTTCAAGATCCTCGTCATAAGTGTTAAGACGAGAGATGTTTTCTGGTGCGTCGGCTAATTAGTTCTACGAGGTGACCCGAAAACCACACGCGTCTATCGTTGGACGCTTCAAACATTTCCCTACCCTCGGGCACCCTTCCACACCGACGCGTATATAACGATTGCCGTAACATTATCGAACGCTCAAATACGGCTCGCAGCTGATGCGTGTGTGTTGTCCGACAAATCACACACCAGAAACGCACCACTGCACGCACACAATCATTATTGCTGCTGAATTTATAGCATGTTTTAAGCCTTAAATAACAGTCGTATAGATAAAATCGCATATTCGTGGACGTGATGATCGTGTGGATTAAACAGGTCACTGACTAGACGGATATAGTTTTGTTTACAATTAAAATACACCTATATTGTACACCACATATTATAGGAGTTCGTATTAATTTCATTATCACCACTATAGTTATTATGTTTTACGTCTTTTTCACTTATGAAGCCTGAAACATCGTTCGTGTCTTATTATTTTTTATTGTAAGTCCGTCGTTCGTCATATTTTCCGTAACATGCCGCGGTTATCATTGTTTCACAAGGTTATTTTTATTTTCATTCAAGTTTTGATGAATTTGAATAACACAATTACACGTTATCAATTGTGTTCATCTGGAATTATTAACTATATATATGAATATATACGATATTTATAAATTCTGAGTTATAAGAGGTTTCTTTTTTAAAATTTATTTTCGTAGAATCATATAAACAGACAAACTTTAGAGTACCTACTTTTGCAAAACGTGATTTATATGGAAATAAGTTATGATATTTATGATATTTTCCAAACAATTATTTAAATGTAAATTTATTGAAAATTTTAAAATTAATTACAATAACCCTTAAAAAAAAAAAAAAAAAAATTAATAATGATGTCATAATATTATAATATTTTTTATAATATTAAAACTAATTAAGTTTAAAGTTATATGAATATAAAAAAAGTTTAACTCATGAAATTTATATTTAACTTATTATGCTAAGTTTAATAGATTGAAGTAGATAAGTTATATACGTAAAGCTTATTTTTTTGTAGAAATTTTAATTTATAGTTATTTTAAATTTGTATTTTAATTAGTTTACTATAAATTATATATAAATATACACTATTAATGTGATTTAAGTTACATTTTAATCAAATATTTACTATAAAACAAAATTTACTGTTTAATGTTCAATGTCATAATAATGAGTATAGTAACATAAATAATATTATTCATGGTACTTTGTATCAGAATCACGTTTACCTTTTTTTTAGCAAAATTTGTATAACGGCGTGTTGTATAGGCAATTTAGGTACGTATATAAACATAGTACATACTGCACAAGATGATCTATCTAATTATCACAATGTTCATATTACAAGTATATCATATAATAATGTTACTGTTTTCTTAAGCCTTAAGCCAGATACATAAATGACATGTATATGATTTAACCACTAAAAGTTTTGGATTATAATTACTACAAGGATCTATTTTAACAAACTTATGTTTTAATTTGAGTATACACAATAATAAGTTGATTTTGAATATTTTTAATTTTGCAGTGTATTATATATTAATTTATTCTTAAAATATTAAGTTTAGGATACAAACATAATATATTATATTTTGTAATTGTTTTACTTTTATGAAATATAATTTAATAATAATATGAAATTGTAATTACCATGTAAAGTAGAATAATACAAATGAATCATACATGAATTAATATATTGTTCCACAAGTTATATCATACACACATAATATTTATGTAATTTTTCTTTATTAAAACTTATAAATAAATTATAATTTTTATTATTTTAATACTACAATAACACAAATATGGTTTTAAATAATGTACTTGTCACCCAGTTACTATACAAGTCTTATACTTCATAACAATGTCATTCAAAACGGAGTTCATTAAACTAAGGATGGAAGTACAACACTCACTCTATCATTACTTGAAAGTTAAGCCCATACCATGATGTGTTTTAAAATTTTTATTTTTTGTTTTTTTTTTTTATTTTTGTTAAACAATTAAGAAATCTGTATTATTATTGTCCGTAATTTTAAAATTGTTCTTACAAAAACTATGCATATCTTTTGTAAATATGAAGTCTTATATTCGTAGCCAACACATATGATCATTAATTAATTGGCTTAAAAATGAATTACTATTTAATAAAACATATCATGTAATAATTAATTATAGAAACATGATATTAAACTAACATAATAAAAGTTCTAATTTTAATCCTAAAAAAATGTAATTCTCAATGTAAATTCAACTTTTATTATTAAATGTTTTTAGTTATCAATACGAGTATTACGACTTATGCTGTTATATAAACTATATGGTATGTTTACTTCTTCATGTTTAGCATCAAATTAAATTAAACTCAGTGTCTTGATAATGTAGGTACATAACATATCTGTATAATATTACTGTACTATTTTAAATAAATAAATTATACATGCATAATTCTAGTAAAAACAATTTGTTTTTTTGTATAACATTATAATAACGTTAATCATTCGCGTAATTTTTTTCTATAAAGATATTAGTCCAAGCTTATCAGCTATCTCTCTGTACAATATAAGAAGACGTTGTATCTTATAATAGTTGTATATCATTATATTCATTGTTTATTTCAAATAAAAATTTTTTTTAACACAACGTAGGTTTCTATATTTTAATCATAGTGAAAAAAAAATGTAGTAATAATAATGCAATTACATTGTTTAAACTTATGTAAAAATGTTTTTGTAATTATTTTCGATATTTATGTAAATTTAATATTCTATCTTCGGCTTTGTCATAATGGGTTTTTGCATGTTATTATCAAGAAATGAGCCTATTATATAACTTTATAATAATATGCATCACAAATATGTGTATTTGTGTATATATTAAATAAAGTACCTATTACATAAAAATATATATATATAAACAATAATTTACACTTTAAATAGCAATAAATTATACGATAAGATCATTATTTATGACAATTATATAAATATGAATCGCAGAAAATAATTAACTATTTGATCACGTGATCATGTCATTGTTATGATATTATTACATATAACAGTAGCCAGCAATTGAAAATTATCTGTGTTTAATCTGTCATACAGATATTTTATATATTACCGTTATAACTACAGCAATAATTAGTATAAGTTTCATGGTAGGTATATATTATAATCATAATATCATAATAACTCGAAAATAAATTGGTCTAACGAAGTTACAATCACCATAGTATCGTTTTAATTATTAGCATAGAAAACGTGACCATTTATAAATAGATATACTGTAGGTACCTAATAGGTATACTTATATATAAGTATATTTTATCGTTTAATGATATAATAGAGTTTGTTTTAGGAGAATAAATCTCATAACATAATTTAGTTACTTATAAACAAATTCTATACAGAATGGTGATTAACCAAGCATTATCATCCCTATGTTTTCCTTTTATAGTGTATTTACTAAAAGTCTTAATATTTTAAGTTTTTTTTTTTATTATTTTAAAGTATTCTACGGTAGACACAAAATATTTATTTTTTTATAATAATTACATTTTTACTATGAAATTTTAAGTGGATGTTTTTTTTTTTTTTTTTTTTAAATATTGATACGTTTAAATTGTTTGAACAGATATTTTCTGAGTCATTAAATTTTAAGAACATAAAACAATATTCCATAATATAATATATAATGATAGGTTAAAAAACTTATACGAAAGCTATATAGTTATTTTAAAATTATATAAATTAATATTTATATACGCCAACATTTTATACTTTGTATAAAATGTTTTTCTATTAAACTTTCTTTCTTACAATAAGTATTTGATTATAATATTTTATATTTTGTGTAAAATCATTATATCTACTTTGACAATTACTCTTCAAATATTAATACCTCAGAAACATATTACTACATTTTAATTGAATCTCGTCAACATTTAAAAAAAAATAAAAAAAACGTATCAGCTTAATATTTTATAAAGGTAAAATTTAGAAGTTTGTCCACCACGGGGCATTCTCTAATGAAGGGAAAACTTTAATACCTGTAAGTTTTTCATTGAGTCATTCAATATTTTTAAAAATGTCTATAGGACATTGATGATTGATATATTGTATAGATGAAATTAAAAAAAAAAAAACATAAGCAATTTTAATATAAATGCATAATGGATAAGAGTGTAATATATTTTTGATAATTTTTTAAAATTTTAAAAGCGTATCATATTTGTTGCGTATTTTCAGGTTATTCAAATGTATTATGCATATAATTATAAGTTTTTTTGATGCAAAATAGTCGGGACTTCAATAATTGTAATAGTTCCACATATAATATATAGTCCTTTACGATTTATTATAATTACATTATATACAATTCACGTGTTTGGTTATGTTACAGGCGTGGAATGACTACAAATTACAATGGGACCCAAAGGAGTATGGTGGCGTGCAAATGCTCCATGTACCTTCTGATCACATTTGGCGGCCTGATATCGTGCTCTACAACAAGTGAGCGTGTTTATAGTATTTTAGAAGCGCGCGCATTCGCCTTGAAAAATTTTCCCTTCACTGTTCAAATTTAATAATAATAATAATTTATAATTATTATATGAGCTCTTCTTTTTATGCTCCAACAAAACAGGTGTTATTTACGATCACTACTAACGTATGGTATATATATTGTCACACACACACACACACACACACACACACACACACACACACACACACATAATCTACATGACGTATAATTTGCAGTAAGCGTACAACGCACGCCCACGCGACCGCTCGTTATCGTCTAGCCTCCTGTTTGCTATGCGTAATATATGTTTCAGATTTATTATGTCACAATGTATTATATATTTACTAACACCATTAAATGATATATATGTATACATTGTGGAATTTCTACTATGACTACGACTATACTATTGCTATTATTTCTACCATCGCTACTGCTGCTACGGTAGAACTACATCGTATCGATATTGCCAAATCGTCTAGTGTGTGTTATACAGGGTTATAAAAGAATTAATCATCCGATAATTTGCACTTGATTTCTTAAATAATCTTATGATATGCCATGTGACTACTTGTGATCTCCGTGTATGCACCAATATTATCATCGAACATAGAAGAGCTAAAAGATTAGCGAAATCTATCATAACGGATATGCATTGAATGATTTTGAGTTTCAACTTTATTGCGATGTTCACGTAATCAAAGGAAGCCCCATAGAACATTTTAAATAGCCATTAAATAGATTTAAAATATTTAATTGTATTATTAATAACTCAAAATCTAAAAACTAAAAATGTATTATGAACATATGAAATTGGATGAACATTTTTTACTAACCCTGTATAGTGTTATTATGTATTATACAATTTATTATTACACGAAATTTATAACATATGCGTTTCGTGTATATTATACAAGTTATGTGTAATACAAGAACGAAAAAAAAAAACGATAAGTCAAATGTGTGTGTGTTTTTTTTTTTGTGTGGAGTTTTGATGGGAGCATCAATCCCACCGTCACTGTCGATGATCACAATGCACGAGTGTGCGTATTCCCCTGTGGACGACAAACGGAATATATAATATCGAAACATTAGGATATATTATTTACTATATTACACCTGCACTATGTAATATTACTGCAGGTACAAAGTGTTAAATAATTAAGTATCACATTAGTGAAAAAAAAATATAACACTCTAATGATAATAATATAGCGCGAACGAATCTACCTCCACCGCCACCGCCAAAGCTTTATCAATTAGTGTATGTAATATTGATGCGTATCCCTTAAGTGAGTGAATATATGTGTGTTATATAGAACATATATGTTATACTATTGTAAGTGGTGAGTGTCAATTAAATTAGTAATACAACTCAGAAGTGGGAAATCGTCTTAAATAATGATACAGCTCTGAATTAATTCGTCGACTATTTATTTTATTTTTATTTATTGAAACACACGTCCGAGGGCATTACAACAGATAATTATTATAATAAATATTTTATACTAGAGTATTTAATAATTATAAATAATCCGATTGTAATTAAAATGTGTAGTTATATCTTACTTATAGATTGTAAAAAATGATAATGGTATAATAATAATGAATTATGATTTATAATAATTAAATATTTAAAACCGTTAATTTATGAAAAAAGCCATATTATGTGTTCTGTGTTTTAATATTAAAAATGATGGCTGAGTGTTAGAATTAAAATAAGAGACTAATGAATAATAATCTTTTGATTAAATTAATGAGGAAACTGTCGCTGGTTGATACATTTAAATTTTTTTATTATTTTAATAATAATAACTTATTTACTATTTTATGTTTTTTTTTATTTTATTTTATGTAGTCTAGATATTTAAGCTCAATGACAGTAATAATATTATATTAAAAATAAAGTCTGACAATTTTTCACATTGTAAGTATGGATAAAATTATAGTATCCAATTTCAGCATCAAGTTCATACATCGTGTATTACATATTATGCCCATACTCATAATACTATATAGGGTAACAGTCGATAAAATTCAATCGGCTTGGAAACTACTTTTTTATAGCTATACATATAGTCAAATGAAATATTGATAAACTAGTGTCGGGTATAAGTACTATGGTGTTACGCTCTGTAAATATTGGACCCTTGACTAATATTCTTTTGAAGTTGTTCTTGTTTTATTTTCATATCCAATAACCATGTATTATATGTTCTTACGGTTATATTATTTTGGAAACGAATACAGGTGCAATTTTTAAAATGTGGATCGTCATATTTTATAGATTGTATATACTTAAACTTTCCATGTTAACTCCAGGTGTTTCAATATATGTTTATTTTAGGCATTAAAATTGGTCCAAAATATCCATGTAATATGATATGTATAATTTTATCCAAAATTGATTTAATCATTTATAAAAATAATTTTATATTATAACATTTTTTTTGTGATAAGTAGTTTTTTTTAACCTAAGGTAAAAGAAAATGTAACTTAATCAAACATATTGATTTTCCTTTTTGTTATATTAATTATGTACTCGTATTATTTATAATAAAATAATAATATATTATTACGACCAAACATTTTTGTACTTTATATTATATTATATACAAAAATGAACCAATATATTAAAACTTTCATATTGGTCCTTTATTATTTTATTATATTTCAATAATAATTGACTATTGTAGACGAAATTTGTGGCTACACGTGGTCACGTGGGATTTTGGGGTCGTTGACAAATTTTAATAATTAATTTCTCATGGGTATTGGTATTGGTACCTGATAGGAGATAGACATCGATTTACATTTACATAAATAACTATTATTCTAAAAATACAATACGCCATCGAATACTCTGGTATTGGTATTATACTACTATAGATATATATTAATGTGCGCTAAATGCCTAAAATACAAAGAGACATTTTTATAAATTCATAATAGCTATAGCAGATCCATATGATTGAAATAACTACAGAATATTTCAAGTAATTCATGATAAAATTATTTACAAAAATAATTCGTTAATTTAAGTTAACTTAAATGTTTTAAATGATGAAGAAACTAATGCATAGGTATACGTAATAAGATATTGTTTGGATATTTAAGATTATCGCACAGACGCTTTAAGACAGATGCATTTAGAAAACGTTTACATTAACATAACTAATTTTATGATATATATATATAGTAACTATCATTACAAAGTATATAAACGTATTGTTCGATATATTTGATTAAGAGGTTTGATAGTGTTTAGTTTGACGCAACCAATTCAAACAATACGCATTGAGTATATTATAGTAAGAACCATAATATCATCATGCACTTAATGCGGAGTTGTATACACGTATACGTAAGGTTCATTAAAATGTCTTAACTTCAAGTTATTCTTGTTCTTCTTGCACATTATTGGATTATTGGAACTATGAGAGAAAAACAAAAGTTGAATACTACGTTATAATGCATTAAACATTTTAATGAGGTGTAACTTAAATTTAATTTTATGATAAAGATATTTGAACTTATTTTGCTATATAATATAACTACTAAGAAAAGCGGCGCCTCCCCCCTCCTTTCATTACCAGTTTCAGTAAAACATATTATAAGTAACCAAAATTTATACATACAAGTAAGAGAGATATGAAGTATGAATATCCTGCAGTATTCTGTCAGGAAATACTATTCTTAACGGAAGTCGTTAACCCAGACAGTTCTTAACAGCTCAAAACTAGATAAACTATTTTAACTACACATAAATATCAATAATATAAATAAATAACTTAAGCAAAAGTAAGTTCAGGTATAAAGCTAATAGGCAATGACCATCGATGGCCCAAGGATAAATAAACATAAAACACAACTACTAATCGCAACACTTTATTATTAAAATTTACGAACATGATAATCTTAAATGTATAAGCTTTATTGTTAGATTTAACCTCTCCATATTATTATCTTATCATTCTCGATTGTTTAAAAGACAAGGTACTTATTTTTTTAAAACATATTGTTTATCATTATTTTCTTTTACTTTAAAAAGTAACCCGTGAAAATTTGCACGCAATGCAGTTTTCAAACGAACTGACCAATTAAATAGACCAAACCAAGAAATAACAATCACTAGAATAAAAACATTATTTCAGTGAACACGCAATGTTCGATGTTTCCTATACAGACAATTATTGTTATAGCTCTAAAAAGCCGTTTTGTAATGTTTCCAAAATTTCAAACTGTTTTTATTGATTGCAATACGATAATAGGGAATTTGAATAGGTACGATTTTTCTAAGATACAATATTCGGCTTGAGGTATTAAATAATTATTTAATTATTTAACGATTTTCAAAATAATATGACCACCGTAGAAATAAATGCAAGGAATAGTTTTAAAAGCGTGGTGTCGAAATTTTTAGGTAATACAAAAGATTCTGATTATAAATTGATAATTATTGGGTTGTAATATGAGTATAAAATTACACTTTTTGAATTCGCATGTTGACTATTTTCCGGAAAATTTGGGTTCATTAAGTGAAGAACTAGGTGAACGTCTTCATCAAGGCATAAAAGAGATAGAAAGGCGATATCAAGGTCGATGAAATATTAGTATGATAGCCGATTACTGCTGGTGTTTAAAACATGAAACTGAAAAACAAAGTTACAAAAGAAAAGAAAATAAATTTAGTTTTTACGAACCTGCAAGAAAAAAGATCCGAAAACTTGAATAAATTTTTTTTTAATACTTTAAAAGTAATAATTAAAATAAACAAATATTATTTTTTTTTTAAACAAGTGTGTTTAATAATATTTTGAATTTTACTTTAGTTAAATTTATATTAATAAAAATATTTTAATTAAAATAATAACGTATGTTATTTATATGTAAATATTATACTATCTTTAAGTCATAATTTAAAAAAAGAACTAGACGTGATAGAAACAAATGGATTTCAGATTTGAATTTTGCACATTAAAGTCTA